TCTACCTGTGTCTGCGTAGGTTTCCTCTAGGTGTTCTGGTTGCCGATACCACTAATAACAATGGTGGCTGTATCATATCTACAGCTCCTAACTTTAGCCACATCCCCAAAGTGCAAAGCATAATGAAACCTTTATATTGAGTTGATACTAGATTAATATTATTTATCACACAAAAACTGTCCTCTCTGAACATCGTAAAGCGCTTTGGGTGACCTTGGTCTGTAAAAATGCGCTATATAGATAAATGATTACTTGCTTACTTTATGTAAAATGATGACATCCAGAAGTGAAGAGCTGGATGTGTTTTTAATCTTGTTTGAATAGTTTGCCTAACTGCTGTTTTGACAGAATAAAGGAATAAAGAAGTCTTGATCTTTATCTAACCAAGAAAGTCCTGACAGGATGTGAGCGGAAGTTGTGGGTCAAGTCGTTCATATTTTTATGGGTAGGGGAAACCGGAGCACCCAGAGGAAACCTATGCAGAAGACAATATTTGAGCCCAGGACTAACTTGCTAAGAAGGCGCTCTCAGTAGCCAGTATACAGTATATATTTAGTGAGACATCAATGAGGCTTAGAGGCATTTGTAACTCTAAGAAATGCACCTCTCTCTGATCAGTAGGAAACCACAAACAAGGTCAGACCACTTCCATCTCAACAAAAAAACAATTTGCACCAGCTTTATGTAACTTAACTTAAACTCACGTCTTGAGGAAAGCAGTACAGTGTTTGTCTTGACCCAGTTTTTTGGACGTGTCTCTCATTTGCCTCGGTGTACACTTGCCCTATATCTGGAGAACCCGTGGGGATAGTTACATCAGATCCTGCGTATTGATGAAATTGTAAAAAAGTGATAACGTGTGAAGGATGAGTCACACCAAGAGGCCAAGACGTTCATTCATTCATTCGTCATCCTCACGCTGGTTACCATGCAAAACTCGTATAATCGAATTACAAAGGTGTCTTGTGTTGTTCTAGCCTTTTGAAAGTGTTTTGGATAATGGTCTGATTTGACATACTAAAATTATGTGTGGGACAAAAGCCGTGCTGAGGAAGCGTGAAGAAATGTCGGCACGTTCTGTTGGCACAAGGTGCACAAAGAAAGATTTAGTGAAACACAATGTATTATTGATTATCTCCATGCCTTTTCAACACACTCTTAATCACATTGTGTTGTTAAATGTGTGTCTATATCTTTGAGATCTACTCTTGGGTTTCTCATGTGGTTAAGGTTTTTAGACTGTTACTATGGTAGCAGACCACACACATGTGCACATACTGTATGCACACACACACTCAGGAAAAAGAGAAAAAAAAAAAAGAAAAATCTTTAAATTGAGGCTGAGTGCAGTTAATTCCAGCCCAAAAATCACCATCCGAGGAGCAGTCTGCGTCAACAAGGAGCGACACAGGACCCAGAGGAGTGATGAAGCCCTGGTCATAAGTTATCTGAATCTAATTATAGTTGCAAAGACAGATTTTTCAGCTTTCCTCTACCACAATTTGAATCCATAGGCTCTCTGGAGTGTTGTGATGTCACATAAATACAGATGAAGTCTACATGAGTCTCTGGCTGAGCTATGTTTGATGAATCATTACTGTATTTATCCCCACTCTCGCACTGCGTTATATCAACTCTCATTTTTCTCAAACAGCTGCAGTGCACCAGCAGAGTCCTTGAGCCTTTAGTGTTTTTTATTTGTCATTCATTAACTAACTTTACGGATGAAAGAATGAGTTTTACAATTTAAAGTTATGATCAAAGGATGTTATAATTATTATTATTATATAGCTGCTCAGTTGGTAGAGCATTGAACTTCGGGCCTAATGGTTGTGTGTTCTATCCCCTTTACAAGACCTATTCCATCTGCTCCCACTGATGTCTGCTGTTGTTGTGTCCCTGGGCAAGACACTTAACCCCACTTTGCCTGAAGCCCCTGCTGAAAGACTAAGGCTGTGTCATCGCTGATGGAGCAGCCATCCTTCCATGGACTAAATAAAAATTATTACTAATTGGGCAAAAGGAAGAATATGGATGGATGGTTGTAAGTTTACGACCTCCAAATGTTTCTTTTTTACCTTATTGGTACCTTACTATAACGCAATTCACCTTTAGCAGCGCTGCGTGTATATTCCAACAACGTCATACAACATCATATACAGTAACCGCTAGTATTATGACAGAAGAAAACTTTTAGGGCTTAGGCGTACCGCATGGTTAGTGCAGAATACTTCCCGTAGCCCTCAGTCCTCCTGCTGCCCCTCATCGCGGTGTCCTCTGCCTCTGTATTTTACTGTGTATATGCACAGCTTTTGACAGCTGTAGCAGCACTCACCAACAACAAACAGGTTTGAGAGCTTCATGATCGCACTTCAGCAGTGGTGAGTTCAGGTGGAATGAGGGACCTCACTGTATTTCAGAGATTATAAATGATAAAACAATTTTTTTACTCATTGTCCGTGGTTGTAAGAAAATGTATATGTTTTATATTTTCAAATTATGAGTAATAATCAGAAGTCTCTATTCTGATCATAACTCAGAACTATTATTCAGTTCTCAACAGTGAGGGTTGTCTCTTTTACATCTGTGACAGTTTGTTGTATAAAAATACAGTGTTTGTGTTATCATTCAAAGTCTCCTAAATATGGCCAAAACAATAACATTCCTGCCGACTTTAAAAGTCTTTGCACTATTCACAATTTCATTGAATGTAAATATCAGAATATATATGAACGCATAGACAAACATGTGACACCAACTTAAAGCTAATAGATGACCAGCCAGACTCACGCGATTTAACAGAAACCAGAGCAGGGGTGTCCTTTTAGTCCAGATTAGTCCAAGGGCGACACCCCTTGTAGTAAAACTTTTTTGGCTGGATTCAAGCTGTTCAGACCATGAAATTGAGGTAGGACATGTCCATATTGATTCACATTTGATAAGGCTTTAGTTGGCTGTATGACAAATGTTTAGCATACAATTCTGTGACAAAATCAAAAACACATGTCAGTATAAACAAATAAATGCAACGGCTGACTTCTAGAGAGCAAGACATGGACCACATACCATGACAGAGCGGTCCGCAATTGGCCCGCGGGCCTGGGTTTGGACATGCCTTAACTGGAGGATATGGCTGGTCAGGTTCAGGCTAAATATATGTGGCACGGTGGCGCAGTGGTTAGCAAGAAAGTCCAGGCCTTCCTGTGTGGAGTTTGCATGTTCTCCCCCTGTTTCTGTATAGGTTACCTCTACCATAAACAACATGTAGAATAGGTCAGGCATGCTCCTCCTGTACGGTGACCCTGCTCCCATCACTGCTCCACAACAGTTTCAAAACGCTTTGTGACTCTCTTTGTGAAAGGCACAATATAAATAAAGATTACTTACTTAAATCAAAGTTAACAGTGGGCGCTACATTCGCCCTGATACGGAGTACAGCACTGTTATGTGTCCAGCCAAATAAATCAATGGGATGTGGGTCATTTACTGTCACTATGTGGGCCTGTCTGCTGAGTCCATGCCAGTCGATGTGCCTGTGATCCGCTGTGACCTTAAAGCAGGTGGGACAATCAATGTGTGCAGATTACGGGTTAGGCCTTCTCCTGATTAAAACTCTCATGTGTTATTATGGTGCCACGGCTGATTGTGGTGCAATGGCTTCACACGTGAATGGAGGAATCAAGAAGTAAAACTCAAATTGAAACAAGTTCACCACAGGACGTACGTTTGATTCATAAAGCATGTAGTGGAGTAAAACTAACAACCTCCAGTTGAACGCATCCAAAACATGTGAACTGGTCTACGACTTCAGTCGCAATAGTTCTCATTTGCCTGTCGTAATCGACAACTCCCAGGTGCACTGTTAAAAACACTGACCGAGTCGTTAAGAAAGCTTGTCAGCGTCTCTACTTTCTGCGTAAACTTAGAGAATTTACCACTAACTCTAAGATTCTGCTTAACTTTTATCGCTGCACCATTGAGAGTTTACTTGTTGGTTCTGTGTCTGTGTGGTTTGGAAACATCACAGATAAAGAAAAGAGCTTTAAACAAGGTGCTCCGCTCTGCAAAGAGGACCGTGGGCTGTGAGCTTCCTGTTCTGGAGGTTCTTTTTAAACAAAGCTCTTAGGATTGTCAATGACTCTTCTGGCCACCCTGGGAAAGCCATGTTCCAGCTTCTTCCCTCTGGCAGAAGATATCGCTCTCTGAGATGCAGGACATCTCGTTATGCTAAAAGTTTTTATCCACAAGCTGTTATCAGTGTGAACAGAGCACTTTAATGATTTGCACTTGTTTTGAAACTGTTTGAGTCGATCGATTTCACAGTGACATTTGTTTACTGTTTTATTTGTTTTATTTTTGTCTTTTAATGTTGTTTTATGTCTGTATTTGTCTTTGCACACTGGTGACTTTTGCTAATGTATTCCAATGTGGTGTTTTTACTGCAAATGGCAAATAAACTGAATCTGAATGTACATATTTAGTACAGTGCTCAAATAATGTGATTGTATCTTCCATCTACCCCATGTCTCCGCCCACTTATCTAATTAACTACATAACTGATGGTAAAAGATCAGTTTTAAAGTCAATGTAGGCGTGTACTTCATAATCAACACAGTGGAAACAAACACGAGTTGGCTGATATTCAAGACAAGTCCAAAATCCTTTATATATAATTCTGAAACTCACAAAACAAATGAATAATGAATATGGCGTAGTTAAACAATCGATATTTTAGTATGAGCCATTCACTGTGTTTCTATATTCAGTCAAAGGCTAAATGAACTGAGCATCTATGAAGTATTTTGAGTTTGGTATTGTAGACTTGGAGCGCGCAGATAGTGATGAGAGCGACACAAACCCCTCCCCCCTCTCCTCCTCCTCCTCCCCCTCTCCTCCTCCTCCTCCTCCCCCTCTCCTCCTCCTCCCCCTCCTCCCCCTCTCTCTCCTCTCTCGCCCTCCGCTCTCTCTCTCTCTCGTCTGCTCTCCGCCTGTAGCTGCGGATGTGTTCAGAGCGCGCAGCAGCGGAGGAGGAAGAGGATCAGCGCCACAAAACCTCAAACAAACTCACAGCAGAAGCGGCCCCGGTGCACGGTGACGGCAGTAGCGGCTTTACTCAGTTCCGGAACCACGAGCGGAGAGCGACTTTCCACAGCGCGCAAACTTCTGCCGGAGAGAGTCCAGGCGCACAGGTGTCCAGAGCTCGCGTAACGCATTGTCCAGAGCTCGTTTAACACAGGTTTGACGCTCGGACCATGGCAGAGTCCACCGCGGCGGGCAGCGATGGAGAGGAGGCCCCCATGAGGGGCTTCGCGCGTCAGGGGGCCCTGCGTCAGAAGAACGTGCACGAGGTCAAGGACCACAAGTTCATCGCGCGCTTCTTCAAGCAACCCACGTTCTGCAGCCACTGCACGGACTTCATCTGGTGAGAGACACTGGGCCTAGGACCATAGACCCATAGAACCATAGAGCCATAGAACCATGGAACCATAGAACCATAGAGGGGTTGCAGGGGGCAGCATCTGTCCGGGGTTGGGGTTAGTGTACAGTGCAGCAACAAGTGTCAGAGTTCTTCTTTCCGGGGTCTGCACATGGTTATGGTTATATGATGTGCAGAACAGCTGTATGTTGCAAAGCAGTATCATGTGTTGGTCATGTTAACACAGGGAGGTTCATAATATGATCATCTGAGGCAGATATTTGTCATCTGAGGTCTGGCCCAAATGCAGAAAGCATTTCACTCACTCTGACCACTGTCACAATGACCACATCCATTGTATTCATTATTATGTTCCCTATATGTTTTTACATTGCCTAGAATGATCTTAGCCCTAACGTTATTTTGGATTACTTTACTTTTTGATCCATCAAACATGACTTTTATTGCTTGTTAAGTTTTAGAACAGACTTGTGAATATAAGATTTTAAGAATATCTGTCCCAGATTCCAACCCACTTGAGAGAACCCTGATGGCATATTCCCAAACAAATGTTCATCAAAAACTCAAAATGCATGTACATTATGCAAGTCCTAAAAGCTCATATCTTTACACATGGCATGTTTTGGACTCTGTCCATTAACCAGAAATAGACCAAGAAATACATACAGAATATTTTTTTCCAAATACAAAAAGAGGCATTATAATTATTACTGTAAGCCTGTCGCCTCTCCACAGTTAGACATAGCACTAGTTCTGTAGTGGTTCTGTTCATCGCCATGGTGATGTATAGCTTTTAGTGACTGTACACATATAATGCCATCTTGTGTACAGTACTCTCATGTTGCATGATTCATTTTGGCCAGATGGGAAGAAATATGGTGGAAAATGTATTCAAAAGACATTGAAATGCATGTTTATCATATGTGAAGATGTCCTGTATTTGTCTTCTAATCTCAACAGTAACTCGCAGAAAAGATATACAGGTCCATAAATATTGTGTTAAATATTGTAGTAGAGCAGATTGTGTTTGAAATGATGACGACAAAATGTGCTTGTGGAGATGGGTTTTTCTAAATAAAAAACCTCAGATAACATTTAGCTTCCGAGAAGGCTAATAGTCCAGATTATTAGAGGTTAGCGTTGTTAACAGTTGTTAAAGTACACTCGATTTTATTAGTGTGACATAAAAATCCAGATTCCCAGAGGCATTTTGGTACTTATGAAACAACATCCGATGCTCACTATAGGTGATGTTGTGATGACATTTCCAAAGCAGGGCAAGGCAAGTTTATTTGTGTAGCACAGTTCATTCACAAGGCAACTCAAAATGCTTTACTAAACAAGAAAATTAAAATTAAAATCACACAGGGCACATAGATAATAATCACAATACATTAAAAGGACTGAGTTGAGTTATATGTAGAGCTAAAAAAATAACTTTTAAACTTTGATTTGAACATGGTCAGAGTAGAAGCCTGTTCCACATTTTCTGGAAGACAGTTCCAGATTTTAGCTACATGAATCTGAAACGGTGCCTCCAGTGACTCCAGTAAAGGCAGGCGCAAAGTTCAATTCAATTCAATGTATTCTTTGCCAACACAGATCAGAGAATCAAGCCGTTCAAACACAAGAAATAAAACAAAAAAGGCATTGGTGTTGGTCCATAAGGGGAAGATGACCAATGTCTGTTGTGTGTTGATAAATGTCCATAAATGTTGTTTAATGTTGAGTGTCTGCATCGGCAAGGAACAACTCTAAACCCAGTGGGAATAAGTGAGAAACTTCAGGGAGGTCCGCATTGAGAGAGTGTTCCGCTCCCACAGACAAAAGTGAACACTGTGACTTTCAAAATGGCAGATATGATTATTTTATGAAGTTGTTGTTTGAGATAAGGCTGCACGATATATCAAAAAAATATTGTTATCGCGATATTGGTGCGTGCGATATCCATATTGGAGATCCGTGATAATATAGATTTTTTTGTTTTAAATATACATATATATTTTTCCCTTTTTATTAAAGACAAACAGACAGACACATCAACATTCAACAAGAACAAACAAAACAAAAAAGTAAAAAAAAAAATATTTAATAAGAGTATATAAATACATGCAATTGAATGTCATTAATGTTGTGCTTATTTTTGTTTTGTCTCTTGCGTTTCAATACAGATTGCAATTTTAGGTGAAAGACAAAAATATGGCAATAATATCGTTATCGAAATACTTACCACTCATATCGAAGATCAATTTCTAGTATGAAAACTTGAAAATATATATCAATGACCCACGTGTGTGTGTTTTAAATATCTCCCACCCACCTTCTCCAGCCTCCTCGCTTATATTAAATTAGTTTCCGGCTCTGAGGTTTGGCCTAATTTAATCCATTTTTTATTATTATCTTGGCTGCTCTATTCCCAAACAGGTCCTTATTCAAGACTGTCATTGGGCCTTTTTTAATTTGTGAATTGCTAATCGTTTTGACCTGAAAGTGCGCCGCCTGCGTATAACATCGTGTAATCCTAATGGGCCACACCGCTCCAAATGATGACCCGTATGCACTCTGTGTAATAACCGACCGGTTTAGACCGTCCGTCATGGCCACGTTCCACTCTCTGAGGAATCGGTATTTTTAGTTTATAATGAGCTGCGTCTGTGATCACAATTTAGCGACAATTTTAGAGATTTTGTGTTGTTATTTTAATTGGAAGGACTGGCTATTGTACTGTCCTTATTTGTGTATTTTCCAGCAGTATTTGGCCCGTCACAAATTCATCAGAGGGTGAGCTAGAAATGTATTACTTGATTTTTGTTAAATGTGATGCTATATGGATTTTGGATACATTTTACCCCCATTTTTCCACCCAGATTTAAAAAAAAAAAAATACATGCAAAAACCAATGTCTCTGTCAAAAAATCCTATTCTTCTGGTTACAATCTTAAACATTTTGTGTAACTGGAAGTACATTTGAAAGAATTGTCTCAAGAGGAGGTGAAACTTTATTTGTATGGCACTAAAATATACTTAAAAATGACTTAAAGGGCAAATTGTAAGCCTTTCCGATTCCTTTTCTATGTGTGTTTTGCAAATGAACTCTTCAATTATAGATTTTGTTTTGCTATTTTTTACTTCAATAACAGTTAATCTTAAATAAACAAAATGCAAACGCTTCAATAATGCTGTATACAAATGTGACGGAGCATAATTCTTTATGTTTATTAAATCATATCGCATATTGAAATATGTTGTATCAAATTGAAAGTCCCTATATTGAGACACACATATTGGCTCTGAAAGATCTCCAGTCCAAATGACAACCGCAATCCCCAGGACTAAAAATTACTATTTCGACCTACAGTATAATTCAAAAACACATACAATATATTTTGGGATTCAATATTTATCATCTGTTCCTTTGCCCTTTTCCTTATAAAACAATACAGCTCTAGTAACTTTTATCTTCTTGATGCATGCTTTTAATAAAAAGCACTTTTTTAACAGATTTTTTACTGTGTTACGTACTTGCACTAGTAGTATAGATTAGTTTCAACATTTGGTCCCTCACTATACCACGTGTCACCTTTCTCAGCCTCACTCTTCGCCTGACTTTCGTGTGTGCAATTTTTGGTGCTTTTTCTTTTTTTACAACAAGCTTCTCATGCGCCATCTGTACACTCCAACACCATCATAGACGACATCCTATAACCGCTAGTAAAACATGACAGACGACCGCTTCTTTACGATCTCACTTCAGCAGTTGTGAGTTCAGGTGGTCCGAAAAGCGTATAGAGTGTGTGGTGAGGGGTTTTGCTTATTGATGGTTATCACAGACACTAAGTTTTTAAAGTTTGTTATGCGACTGTCCTGGAGCCTCACCTGTTGTCATGGCAATGCGATTGTTTTGCCTGACTGCTCCAGAAAAACCCGCACAGCTATGTTACTCCCATGTGTCTTTTATTCACAGTCCACGATGGAAACGTTTCGAACTGAGGCCCTTCATCGGACGTTGTTGGCCTGAAACGTTACTATTATGGTCTGTAAATAAGAGAAAAGATAAGAGATTCTTTATTCGTCCCACAGTGGGGAAATTTCAATGTTGCAGCTCACATACGGGACAGCAGTATGAGCACACAACATACACAATATGTGGAGCTGCTATGTTTCTTAGCTAGCTGTAAATGCTGCCTTCAATATCTGTATATCGATATATCTCATCAGGATAAGCAGAAGTAGAACATGATGACATCCTGAAAATGCAGCATTGCATATGATTGCAGTATGTACTTATTTACAGATGAATGACATGTACAGGCTCAGCAGTTCTCATTGTATAGTCTGACAGCAGCAGGAAAGATATATATGTATGCATTTATTTTCATATTTTGAAACAAATCCAGCACGCTAGTTCAGGCTACTGGGTCGCGCGTCCTTATTTGAAACCATAAAGTGTATTTCAGCAATAAAACAGTAGATGGAAGAGTTTAATCAGTCAGATGGTAGCATATGAAAGCATAAAAAGTTGCCTTAACCTCGCATTTCTCAAACTCCGTCAGGTTGAGAAGGCAAACACTTATGTAGGCAGAAGTTGCTTTTGTTTGGAAGTGAACATCATGCAGTTTGTGTGTGAGTGAAGCTTAAACATCTGCAACTCTGCCTTTTCTCCCAAGGTCAAATGCAACTTGCACAAAACGGTTTTAAGGAGGAAGGTCCAGAACATTCTATTCTCTGTGGATGGATCTGTTATTGTTTTGTCTGAAATGCCACAAGACATGAAAGTGAAACTAAATCATGTATACCAGGCTGGGAAACTTTCTATTACTACATTTTCACACAAGCAGATGATCGTTGTCCACTCACATCTGCTCTAATTCTAATTTACTTCTTCATATGTATTTGGCTGGATGGTACTCTTGCTGTGTTGCAGTCATCAAGCAAAAAATTGGGAAAGAAAAGTTATAAAATATGTTGGCTCTGCTGGAGATGGAGTCCTAGAATGGATGACCACACACTCGGACTGAGAGAACATACGTGTTTGTCTCTTAAACTACATCTTAGTTTTGTCAAATGAATGATTTAAGTTCCTTTTCAGTCAGTTACTTTTCAAAACGTGAAGAGATGGTTCGACTGTCCGCCCTCAGCTCCGCAGCTTTGAGATTGAACAAAATTAAATGAAATCTGTGAGGCCCCTGGTCATTGGTTTAACTATTCTCCTCCAGCAAATCTCACTGGTTGTATAGTTATGCCAAGGAGTGGGACTATTTTTAATCAATTATTCTTGAAAAACACTTGCTGTACATTATAGTACAGTGTTCCATGGTCAGAAAAAGACATTTGTTTTAAATATGAAGAGAGATTGTCTTCTAAAGTATTGGTCAAATGGTTGTGTTTCTCACTTTACCACATGGTTGCTGACAGACATCCTGATATTGACCCAGCAACACTAAATTCACACGCCACATAGCAGACAGATACAGCTGGAGATCTCTGTCCGTCCAAACTATTCATCACCACCATTGGATGCGTCTCCACGGAGCTTGTGGAGTCATAGTCATACTGTAGTTGTAGTTTTGCCACGAACTGGGGAGCGCCATGTTTAGGTTTTCTATGTCTCCATGTCCAGAAAGTGGTCTCACTATCGCCCCCTGTGGTTTTGAAATTCATGCAGTCCAAACGCAGTGACGCTTGACTTACTTATTGGAGAATGAAAGAGCCTTAAGCTGTTGAAGCTGTAGAATTAGCATGTATGTAAGTGATGGATTTTGATTTCACATACATTGAATTAGAATAGGCATGTCAAACTCAGGCCCGCAAGACAATTTTTAGTGGCCCTCAAAATGATTTTAACTAATTAGAAGTTAAGGGAGGCCAAAGCTATATTTGTACTAACTATCAGTCTTCAATTACATCTCTTCTTGATATTTGGCCTAATTGTGGTTGAATGTAAATGTACCAGAAAATACAATCTCATGTAAAATTGTATTAATTTGTCAATACAAATGAATACAAAAAAGGTAAAAAGAAATTACTATAATAAAAGAAAACGGTGGCGGTGGCGCATCTCAGAAAGAAGGTCCTGGGTTCGAATTTCGGTCGGAACGGGGTCTTTCTGAGTGGAGTTTGCATGTTCTCCCCGTGCTTGCGTAGGTTTCCTTCGGGTACTCCGGTTTCCCCTACCACTAAAAACATGCTCACTAGGTATAATCCTCAAGCTCCGGTAGTCGAGCATCAACATCTGGAGATGGGTTCCCAGGCGCTGTTACTACGGCAACCACTGCTCCTGCCTTAGCGGCATCAGGATGGGTCAAATTAATAAAGTGCACCTTTACCTTTTATACTTTTGGCCCCAACCTGCTCTTATGTTTTTTAATTTGACTCCAGACAAAAAGGAGTTTGACACCCCTGAATTAGAATATAAGTAGAGAGCGCAACATGTCATAGGCCCTTCAAATCAACATATGCTAAAAAACATTATTTTAGTGGACGGCCTTCTATTGTTCCAGTCCGGACCCTAATTCCACCCACTCTCCTCAGCAGGTGCGAGGGTCTGTCTGTGATTTTTAATGCTCTCCTTTCTTTGGCGCGACGTGACACTCAGGTTCCGCCGCGTCTGACATTCGGCTTTTATGCCAATCCCCACAGGCAAAAGAGAACACAGCCTTTTTTTTTGCACTACTAGAATTCAAGTCGTCACCTGCGTGCCTGTTTAACCCGTTCTATATGCTTTCTCCGCAGGGGGTTCGGCAAGCAGGGATTCCAGTGTCAAGGTAAGGCGGCAAAATGCATTTACATCCGGAGAGCGCGTGATGTTCTCTCTGCACACACACACTGTCTTTCTGATTTATTTTAAGTGGCGTACGTCCCAGAATTATGCAAGTCGTCTCTTTGTCCCATTGTCCTGTTCCCACATTATAAATTAGCAATTGTTAGTTCATGTGGCGTTGAAGGTATGCGCGCTAGTGGGAGTTTTGATTGACGTTTTTTCAGCCATGTATTGTTCAAAAGTTGTCATGCATTGTCACAAAAGCGCATCTCCAAGTTTGTTCGCTGTTACTTAATGGAGCGTGGATGAGAACAAGCTGGATTAGAACTAGAGCAAAATCAGATCAGAAGCAAATTGAATCTCTTTTGCTTATGTTAAAGGTGACATATAATGCTTTTTTTCAGCTTTTAACCGCGTTATGATGTTATTCCTCATAAAATACCGGCCTGACCATCCAAGCTAATATCAGGAACTTCTGAATCAAACATAAAAGCTCCTGTCTCAGTCCTGTAATGATGTCATGGTACCGCTATCACACTCAGAGCAGTTTTCTGCCTTATAAAACCCATCAATTAGTTTTGGAAATTACATTACATTACATTACATTTGATTCCTCCCCCTAGTGGTAGCATAAGGAGTTACAGACAGAAAGCAGTTTTTTTACCCTTTGCTTGTTCCACTATACATTTGCTACTACTTAACTTAGTATTACTACTTGACTGCGGCCTATATAGTGATGTGGCCAATGTATGTATTTTTAGTGTTATTAAGGGTAAGCAGAGAGGACTGGCACAGGGAAATGTACAGACTTGTCTTTCTCAGGTTAGGTACATTGTCAGAGCAGAGTTTATGGACTTATTATTTTGACTCCATCAAGTTTAAATGAAATGGAACTCACATTTGTTTAAAAAAAATTGATTTGATGACCAGAGTGCTTTGATCTTCATGCATCAACAGTGCATTGAAACACCTCATCCTTAATTTATGGTGTGTCCAGTAAAATTGGTCTGTTTGTTTTGTTTTAGTTTTACAATATAACCTGAAAACCTGTGGATTATATCCAAGTGCCTATATATGGACAAAATGTTTCTTTTAAAATGTAGCTGTCTTTTAATGGACCACAATAATAACAAATTAGAATAATTTTCTCTCGATATGTATTACATCTTCTTGCTAAACCTGCGTACAAATAGCTCTGTTTTGGTTCACTATGGACTCCTTGCTCTGACTAAAGCATCTGATTTTATACCTTCTCATATTGGAATATAGCAATAATAGTGAAATGTATCTTGTGTGTATTGACTTCCTGCTGCATGTCCCAGGGCCACAACATGAGACGCTTCTGCAAATGAGGTAATCAAAGTCGCTGAAGTTGGCTGACAGCAGCACCACTTTTTCAATAAGAATAAACATACATTTAATGAGATGGGATTTTTACTATCTATTCCGTTTGGTTTGACAGTTTGCTTTAGCTTGATAGTTGCCACGTGTTACACTTGGGTTAAAATACAGTGGACCCTCACTATAACGTGGTTCACCTTTTAAGGCGTTGCTGTTTCCTGGATTTTTGTGTGTGCTTTAAACAGGTTTCATAACTCTGAACGTACAGTATATAGTTGGGCTGCACGATATATCATTGCGATATTGATACGTGCAATATCCATATCTAAAAGATGCACAATCATTTTGAAATATTTATGTATGCATTTCTTGTACGCGCACTTAGATGAATCTGCTGCGACTTGGTGCCACCACACGTTAGAGAGGAGCACACAGAGAAACGGATGATGCAGACGAATGCAGAGGAGAACTTGTTCCCAAAAACATTTTGGCCCCGTCCACACGTATCCGGGTATCTGCTAAACCGCAGATATTTTTCTTCGTTTGCACTTGTCATCCACATGACACTCATCATAAACGAATAGTGGAGAGTTTTGAAAACTCTTTTTATGCATTTGGGTGTAGACAGAGATAACCGGAGTTTTGCGTTTTTGCGCGTCACAGTATGCTCCCAAAACAACAACAAACAAAACGTGCGACCTCTGATCACTGAAGAAGCATGTATCTTACTGCCTCAAAAACTGCGGCTGCGAACAACTCGCAGCAGCGAACATCCTCCACATCAGAGCGCAGCAAAGTGATCACGGGGAATCACGCTCGAAACAAACCAAGACAGGAGCTAAACCAGGACTAAACCAGGACTAAACCAGGACTAAACCAGGACTAAACCAGGACTAAACCAGGACTAAACCAGGACTAAACCAGGACTAAACCAGGACTAAACCAGGGCTGAGGACAAGGGTCAGTGCTGGTAAACATATGTCTTTAACCTGAGTTTCTAGTGTGACTGTAAGTGCCGCTACAGAAGTACCGGCGTAAGCATCAAAGCTCCGCCCACTTCTGTGGTTTTTCCCCATGTTTGAAATGTTATGAATGTTACGAATGTGATTGAAAACGCAGATGTTCGGTTACGTGCGGATGCAAATTATTTTATAAACGGAGTAGGGATGTAGAAAACTATGAATTTTCATGACCGACCACCGAGCCTCATTAACCGGTTGAAACCGGTTAACCGCGTAGTTAAAAATAGTCCACGTTCTTTGAATAACAGCCATTTCGAGCCGCGTACTTTTAAGTGCAGCTCTGCGTTCTACAGGATCAGAGCCGAGACAGCGCCGCCAAAACCCGCAACAGCTTCGGCACCTTTTGCGCACAGAAAACTGCTTTTTTTTAATCTTCCCATTCTTCTCTGCTGCGGGTTAAAGCTTTTTTAAAGCAAAAGACAGCTCGTCCACATGGTCAGAGCAGCGAGTGACGAGCCGCGTCTCACAGGTCTATGCTAAAGTTAAAGTGATGTGTGTGGAGCTGATCTAATGCCAAGGAACAGCATGTTCCCATATGGAGCCGCGTATTTGCGAGGATTACCGATTTACATCCCTAAAACGGAGAGGGGGAAACATTCGGTTTTAAAAATACCCGGCTACGTGTGGACATGGCATTTACCTCCAGAATTTGGAACAACCACAGAAACAGTTATTTGCAAGGCATGCCGAAAAATAGTCGCTTGGTCGAACGGAAACACGACAATCTCCAGATCCAGCTCAAGCACAACCACAGGGTACTTTATGCTGTGTATTTACGATCTATAATTCCAGCCTACTCCGGTCAAACAAAAGACAAATGCACAAACAAGCATTAATGACCTAATGTCGTTTCTGTTGCTCCTCATGAGAAAACTTTGAAGTGACTCAAAGCTTTAACTGCAGCCATGATATATCGCACACTCTCCATTAATACTGTGTGTATGGAAATGGCAACTTTAGGCAAGATTTGAGGTTTATATTTGTGTGTGCCATACTGCATCTGTATGTGATTGATATTGTGCTTATTTTTTGTGAGATTTTTCCCTTGCGGTTCAATGCAGATTGCATTTTTAGGTGCAAGACAAAAATATTGCAATAATATCGTTATCGAAATACTAAACACCCATATTAATTATCACTCTAATTTCCAATTTAAAGTGTGGGGTGAGGGGTTTTACAGCCTTAAAACATACAGCTGCAGATTGAGGGACCAGTGTATCATGAATATCATTTGGTCATTGTACTTTCAATGTTGTAATTTGCTTAAACCCTGCTTAAATATGTCTTTATTGCAAGGTTGTGTCTTTCCCTAACTCTATATTATAATCTGTGCTCATTCATGGTCGTATTGTTAATAGTTTGTTTAGCTAATGAGTAAAAAGCAGGCATCTCGTTTACGATCATAAACCGCCTTTACAGCTGCCATATAATCTTTATCATCTGTGCAGTTATTGCTGGGTAGTTGCTGTTAAAAATAGACATGGAGAAGAAATCTCATGTTTTTTTATACATAAAAAAAAGACATTTTCCTCTTGTATTAACAGCAGCTGAGTGCGTCCAAGGATTTTTGTCTCCTAGCAACAGTGAAACATTCTATACACGCCTGCAGGCTGAGTGTTCGGCCAGCGCCGCTCTAGCTGTAATTAGCCCAGTGGTGCTAACAACCACTGTCCATCCAACCCACGAGGATGCACATTATGCATCCACAACAAAGAGATTTTCCTCCTTAAATGAGGCTCAAAAGCATCAATGGATTTTTAACTCGAGCAGAATTAATTAACCTTGCCTGCAAGCTGAATTCTCGCGGTATTTGTGAGTTCACAAACACTCGAGAATACATCTTGTACCGCTCCCGCTTACACTTTTCGAGTCGAACCACTGGGTGTGCGAGCCAATCACGCGCCGGTCTGGGGGTTTAGGGCGGGATATCCGGGTTTGACGAAAGCAAGAAGTGCCGGGCCGAAGCAAAACAAACATGGCTACGCAGGAGGACGGACGCGTAGCTGAGGCTATCAAGTCAGTTTTAGCAGAATCTCCAATTTCTTTTTTGAAAGATGAACAGCGAGAGGCGCTTTGTGCATTTCTGGACGGCAAAGATGTTTGTGCATTTTTACCTACGTAAGTCAAACCTTGGTAGGCGGGCACACAGCGTCACTTCGCCCAATCAGCTTCAAGTATTCTGCTGCTTATCCCTCCTTTCCCCGAAAGGATTCTCTGTGAGAAATCCCAGATTGATATCGCGGAGAACGCGTTAGAGTTCTACACAATCATCAATCTGGCTCTTGCCAGGTTAAGAATTAATTGCATACGAGTTTAAACGTGCTCTTTGTGGAACATCTCAGGCAATTTCACACAAAAGAATTTTCCATTACCAGTGATTTGGTAAATAAAAACCAGCTGAAAATCTATTTCAATTTTATTTGAATTGGACAGTGAATACCCTCCATCCATCCATCCATCCATTTTCTACCCTTTAATCCATTTCTGGGTCAGGGGGGTGGCAGTCAGAGATGCCACCCAAGTCTCATAGCACCAGCCCCTCACTGATCCTCTGCAGGTGGTGAGTCCACAGGAGGACGGCTGCTCTCTGAGTGTGAGCATAGCCTTGATCTTTCAGTGGGGGCTTTGGGCAAAGTGGGGTTAAGTGTCTTGCCCAAGGACACAACGACAGCAGTCATCAGTGGGAGTCGGTGGAGAAGGTGCAGAGGTGGGAATTGAACCCACGACCTTCTGGGCTTAAGGCCAATGCTCTACCAACTGAGCTACTGTCGCCCCAGTGAATACTTCAATTGAATTTTTAAAAGATTGCAGATTTCTGATCATATGACACAGTCTATCATGCACAATAAGTATTTTTTAACAATATAATTTTCAAAACAGTCCCTTCCCTTGACGTATCTTTCAATGGGAAAAGTTTCACAGTTTTAAAAGTAAATGACATTCACTTTGACGAAGAGCAGGCGCAGTAAACAGACTCACAAACACACACGCATTTACCCTGAACTATGGTACATGTTTTCAGTGGTGTAACCGGAGCACCTGGAGGAAACCTACGCAGACTCAGGGGGAACATGCAAGCGCCAACTGCTGTGCCAGTGTACCGCCCAATGTGTGCAAGCTTACTTTTACCACAGACTGCATACAGATGGAAGTGCAATATGGAAGTGCTCATGGATGAGGTTTCGCTCCGACTCACTCTGGCTCCTATTGACTTATATTCAAAATTAAACTCCTAGCTCAGTAACATTTTGTGCCACACTCCCCATTTTGGGGTTAAAATCTGTGGTTAGGTGCTCTCTATGGTCCCGGCGTTTATAATTTGATATTATCTTTTGTAAATCCAGATATGAGCCATATAAGAATTGACCAATCAGAGGCCTGCATTCGTGACGGTAACTCCATCTTGCAAAAAAACCATCTTAGCAACACACCCTGTTACACCGCAAAGCTAACGCCGGCAGAACAAATGCCCATAAAAGGAAATTTGCTCCAGCTAGCTTATGCTCAAATCGGCTTCTTCCGCATTAAGGCAAACCGATGCTCTTCTCTTTGAGCCATAAAACATTTTGGTTAATAAACATATATAGGTCTAAGGAAGCAGTAGTTTTTTTAAAATGAAGGCTAGCTGCAATTCATTGTATTCTCCATGCAGTGTTTTTGTTTTGACTGGAATTTTTGACTTAAAATATATTTTGGACAAGCTCAATAGAAAAGCGCATTAAAAAAATAGCAAAAAAAGCAATTGACTAAATAGAGATATATTTCTAGGCACGAGGCACCAAACAATTATCCAAAGACTTAGATTCAGATTCATTTATTTGCCATTGGCAGTAAAACCACTTTGAAATTCATCCGCAGAAGTAATAGTATTAGATTAGTGAAAGTCATATATTTGAGATTCCGTGTGGTGTTTGTTTAGTTGGATTATTTGAACAGTGCACGGTCACAGTCCCATGCGTGCATTACAGAGAAGCAGAAGTGGCTGATGTTTTTACTGCTGTGATGACCGAGGGTGGAGGAGAGGTGCTGCTGCTGCTAAAACAAGGCGAGTAATCTGATTGGCTGATGGCAGTTTTTGCACGAATCTAAGCACAGCAGCGTACTTTGTGTCATGAAGAAATGCATTTAGTCAAATCCACAACTGAATACGAGGGTCCCACGCTATAATGCGGTTCCCCTTTCGCGGCCTCGCTGTTTTTGCATTTTGTTGTTGTTGTTGCAATTTAACAACAACATCATCGACAACCTCATATAACCGCTAGTATAACATAACAGCTACCTTTTTATTTAAAAAAAATTAAAGTCAGAAGAATAACTTTTGTGGCTTGTGTGTGAGCACTGTGGCCATTTGTTTAGGGGACTGCAGTGGTGCACGCATGGCTTTTGACAGCTGCAGCAGCGCTCAAACCTACGTCAAACAGGTCTGATATCTCCACAGTCAGCAGTCGAGAGTTCAGGTGTTTAGAAAAGTGTATAAAGTGTGTTGTGAGGGGTTTGACAGCGTTTAGACATAGCTGCAACTTGGTGGTATTTACTTCTTGTGGGTTAAGATAAGATAGTTTATTGATCTCACAAAGGAGAAATTTACACAGAATATGTCACTTCTGTCATGGATAGAATCACTCAAGAAGAAAAAAAATTGTGCAAAGAAAGAAGTGTGCAAACATGTTACATGCAGGATAGATTATGTACAATAAAAGTGGCATTTAAGAAACAGTGGCAATAGTTTTTTTTTGTTTATATATATATGTAGAATGTAGAACCCTCACGATTTTCTCTCACAATTTTTTATTAGTGTTGAAAGTTCTATTTGTTTGCACTGTTTTCTTGTTCTTATCCTGAGACCTGATTACCCACCTGGAGCTTTGTCATATCCCGTAATTCAGCATAATCCTCGAGGTCACATGCAACTTTCTCACAGACCGCTGCCTTTCACTATCTCCGTGTTGTTGTCTTCAGATTTACTTTCGCTTTTCTGCCACAGTGTCCTTGCTCTTTGGTCCTCTCCTTGTCCATTATTACAAAGCAGTAGTTCCCAACCTAGATAGTTAAGAGTTCTTTAACTACAGTTCTTTACCTGTAACTCTATAGCATATTTGTTTTTACGTTCTGTAGGTATTTGGACAAAATTATCACTCTGATTTAACTTGACTTTTTGATTTTTCGGAAGACTTTTGGACTGGGAACGCTTTTTCGACCAAATTGTGTGACCGTAGTCTGTAAAATGTGCTGTATGAACAAAGCCGCACAACAACCAAAACTGGATCAAACGTTAGGAAAGCTTATTATTATTGAATTGCTGCTGTTAATTGTGTTATGGATTCAATGGTTAGAATAAAATACCTGATTATTTTGTTTTCTTAAGAGAATTAGCTTTAAAATTATGTGAAAAATGCCATAGTTACCCCTATTTATGTCTTACTATCAGTGTTCGCAAGTTTAGTAAATATATTCAAGCACCCCCTGTAATACCCTTGCGTACCCCTAGGGGTTGGTGCACCCCGTTTGGGAAATACTGTTGTATAACACCAACACACGAACTTGTTGATATTGAGATCGCCAATACTCTTATACAGGGATTAAGTTCAAAGTAGCAGCTTTATGTTTTAAGGCTGTAAAACCCCTCACAACACACCTTTTATACACTTTTCTAACCACCTAAAGTCACAACTGCTGAAGTGTGATCGCGGAGATACCAAACATATTAATTTTAAGTCTTAGTGCTGCTGCAGCTGTCAAAAGCCGTGCACATACTGTAAAATACAGCTGCAGAGAACACCGTGACCAGGACTGAGACTATGGGAAGACCACGGGTCTTCTCTGACTTTTAATAAGGGAACTGTCACGTTATACTGGCGGTTTTATGATGCTGTAGGTGATAAAATAAGTACCGCATTATAGCGCGGGACCACTGTGTTCGCATTTACAGCAGCTGCAACAAAACTTGCCCGACACGGACTACATCAAATAGTCAAACTTGGCTGGAATTTCAACTAAATGCGATATGATTCGCTCGCTGTCACACCCATGAACACATATCGCAGAAGTTGTTGCTGCTCTTAAACATGTTTTGTTTATTAGAGGCCAGTCTGTCCTTGTCGCGGTCCACTGCTCACTCAGGATGCAGCTGACTGACACTATTTTAACTTTCCCCCGTCTCAAGTCATCGAGTCTCTTTTTTTTCTGATCTAAAGATAAGTCTGAGGCCAATAATATGTCAGGGTGAAAACTAGTAATCAATTTAAACTGTATACACTGCAAAATGTGAGGAGCAATTAGTATAACATTGATTTGAGCACATTCTGACTGCTTTAAAATGAGATTTACCAACGGGACAAAGCAAAATGATCGGGTTTTAAAAAGATACAAGACAAATTCTCCCTTGGAATTAGAAAATAATGCAACAGTTCTTGAAATAATACTAAATGGCTTTGTCCCATTTGGCAAATCTTGTTTTAAGCCAGTCAGAATGTACACACACAAAAAACTACTTGATTCAAGCAATTATTACCTTTTTTGCAGAGTAGATTTGACTCTATAGGTCCAGTGAAAGAAAATTGACTTATCCGTGCTTTCGACCAGGGCTGCACGATATTGGAAATTAGTGCGATATTCGATATTAGTGTTTAGTACTGCGATAACGATATTATTGCGATATTTTTGTCATTCACCTAAAATTGCAATCTGCTTTGAAACGCAAGAGACAATTAACAAAAAATAAGCACAACATTAATGACCTTCAAATGCATGTATCTATGTGATTTTTTGATTGTTCTGTTGATCTGTTTTGTTGTCTTTAATAAAGAAAATAAGAAAAAATCACGGATATTTTCGATATGGATATTGCACGCACCAATTCCGCGATGACAATATTTTTTTGATATAGCGTGCAGCCCTACTTTCGACCACGTCAAAGTTGTTTTCCCCTGTTTTTTCCCCCTAAAATCTGTCTCATGTTTTATTAATTTCTATTTTATTATATGTGAGAAGCCGTTGTTCTCCCCTCTCTGCCCCTCCCACTGTTTTCACTGACGGATCACAATTATCTTTGGTGATGTGTGGATGAGTCACGTCATGGTCCACCTCATTATTTCATCATAATAAATATAGAAACATGTTGACAATTCAAATATGAGCTCTAAGGTGACATTGTGAACCTCTGACTTAGAGTTTGTATCCATTCATGTATTCAGCTTTTTCAGGCAGAAAATGCTGTATTCTTGGGTTTCATATGACGTCAGTGGCGCGAATAACAAACGTGGGACAGGACATGACGTACCCTGGCGGTGCAGTCTGCCGGGTTTATACACGGAGATATAGTAGAAGCGCTGTCAAAATGCCATCTGTGGTCTCATGTAAAGGAGTACACTTTGATAAAATCACTGGAATGAGGCGGCCGAGCTGGATCAAGGCTTTCCCAGATAAGCGCCACCTGCAAGCCACCCAAATGAAAGACAACAATTTCTTCTGTTTTTCTTTCCAAAAATGCCCAAAATCAAGACTCTTTTGAGAAATATTTTTTAGTTCTCCCTTAGAATTGAGTGTCCCCGATTTAAGACTGTTACAACAACCGTACACCGCACAGGAGGAGAGCCTTTTGAGATTTACATGGTTTTCAATGAGAGCAAAACTGAGTTGTCCCACCTCTGCTCATTCGCCCCCTACAGGCCAGTTTAATGAAACCCAAGAATACAATCGGCTCTCAAGACTTTTTAATGTTCTGTGTTTTTTTAACCGTTGGGACAAACACATTTTCAAAGGTTTTTTTTATTAGCACTAATCCAAAAAACAACAATATGCAGAACATAGAATTTTCTCGTTTTTCAAAAATGTTTAGGTTCCCCCCATGGACAGTAGGCAGACATTAACGGGCAGCCAGCTGCAAACAAAGTAAGACCAAACATAAAAATGTATACAATGAGACAAACACATTAATAGGAAAGAAATATAGTTACATACACACACGCACCCAGACACACGTCTATAATACCCACACATACCCGCGCATTTCCGAATGTAATTAATCCAAAACGATGAAATACATACATATATACTCATATATATACAGATACATACATATATACACATACATACACACATTCATACACATATTACACATAAAAAGTAAAATGATAATCAAATAAAATAAAAAAATATAAAATAAAAAAAAGAATACACCCACACACACACACACACACAAAACAATCTACGTACATGGAGAGGTATCCAAAGAAAAAATAAATAAAAAAAAATAAAAAAAATAATAATAATGAAAATAAATAAATAAATAAAAATAATAATAATAATAAAATAATAATAATAATAATTAAAATAAATAAAAATAGTAATAATACAAACATGCTATTTGAAAGAGAAAAGACAATTCAAAATGAAAAGATAATTAAAAATAAAAATACTAATAACAATAAATAAAAAATAAGAAAATAAGGATGGGGGGGGGGGTCCTCTATAGGCTACTCAGGATACGGTTGTAGTGGGTCTTTCAAAAAAATAATAAAATAAGTGGTATGAACCTGGCCAAGAATAGATTCCCGAAGATCGTCGATTATGATAAAGTTGAGATCTTGTTCCCATTTGGACTTAATGGCAGTTAAGGGTGAGCTTTGTAGTTTTGCTATTAGATTATAAAGAGTTGAAATGACACCCCTAGAAGTTGGATTGATAGATAAAATATAATCTACATAATTGTCCGAAGGTTTTTGAGGGAATTCTGCTGTCATAGTTTGTATATAGTGTCTGACCTGTAAGAAACGGAAGAAATGAGTTGTTGGAAGTCCAAATTTTGTAGATAACTGAGAGAAACTTGCAAATTGCCGTCTAGGTATAGGTCAGTAAAACATTTAATGCCTTTTCTATGCCAAAAGAGAAATGTGCCATCAGACATTGAAGGGGTAAATAAATGATTTGCAGCGACTGGGCTCCGGAGAGAGAGAGGCTGAAGACCAAAACTTTTCCTGAATTGAGACCAAATTTTAAGAGACTGGTGTACTACCCTATTATGATCAGGTGGGGGCAGAGCTAAAGGGAGTGGCGCGCCCAAAATCGCAGGTGAAGAAAACTTGCTATCCGACCGAGACTCCATGATGACCCAAACTGGTGGTGTTGGTTCCAAGTAAAAATGTTTCCAATATAGCATACTTTTGAAATTTGCAGCCCAGTAGTAGTATTGAAAGTTGGGAAGAGCCATACCTCCAGCCAGCTTGGGTCTTTGAAGGAACGCTTTCCTCAGCCTTTGGTGTTTGCCATTCCAAATAAAAGAGGTAGACAAACACATTTTCATTAATTGAGTCTTGTCAAAGTAAAATGTAAACAAATCAGACCACAACGTACGGACTTTATCTTTTTGGACTCTTCTCACTATTTGACACTTTGGGCAGAGAGCTGATTGGCTGAGTGAGGGTCTTCCACTTTTTGTTTTTGTTTTAATTTTCTCATTGTCATTTTTGTCTCTTTTATTATTCCACTTCTGGGTTGGGGACGTGGCAATCAAGAGCCCAAATGGTGGGGTTAAGTGTCTTGCCCAGGGACACAACGGCAGCAGACGTCAGTGGTGGCATGTGTCGTGGGGGGATCAAACCCATGACCATTCAGAGACCAATGCTGCGAAAACAAAAATACATGCATGTGATCAAACTTTTTCAAGAGCGAGGAACTATTTGGTGTGGTTGGAAAGTTGGTACCGCAGCTTTAATGAGACCAATGCTAAAACATTGAGATTATTTTTAATTTACCTTCCCCAGAGACATTTTTGTAACTTAAATATATTTTTTTGTCAAATACCTAACATTTTGCACGATTTTGAAGACCTCTTGCTGACATAATCTACTCCCATACACTTTGACTCAGGGTATAGAATAGTACTGAGTCAAAGTATAACTGCAAACTGAAGGTCCTGGATTCAATTACACCTCCGGTTTGCATGTTCTCCCCGTGTGCTCCGGTTTCCCCTACCACTAAAAACAATGTACTGTATAATAGGTCTGAATGTGTTGAGTGAGTGAATGGGTGGTGTTGGTCGGAGGCTTTGATGGTCCAGTGTGTTCGGCGTCTTGCTTCTGTCATCACCGTCTGGAGAAAATGGGAAAAATATCGGAACTCTCAACAATCTTAAGCGCTTTGGGTGACCTTGGTCTGTAAAATGTGCTACATACTGTACATGAAGATGACTTACTTTTCCACTCTATTTAATGGAACGAGTGCAAGTTTTTTCTTTAGGAAATTATAGTGATAGTGAGTCATTTACATTTCTTTCTATTTTTAGTGTGAAGGATTTGGGAAAGCAAGTTTGTTCCATTTCATATTTTTAAACTGCTCTTCCCGTCTGCCTTTTTTACACACATATTCACCAAAGACAAAATTCTTGCCTCATGTTTCTTTTTACATAAATACAATGTGTTCACAGTAGAAATACATCCACTTGTAAGTTCAGCAGTGGTCAGAACACTCCGTATCAGGCTCTTGGGCGCGCACTTGTTGCTACTGTAAACAAACATCGCGCGGCCTCATCACGGCAGGTTTTATGTAATCCGACACTTCTCAGTACATTTCCCATCTTTTGCTTCGCCCTGGCGTGTTCATATGCGAGTGCTTATCGTCCACCAATGAACCAGGCGACTCCTATTTCCTTAATGGCTGCTTATGCCGCTCCGATGCGCGTGTTCGATTGGCTGCGCGCGGGGTCCCTAATGATTGTAGCGCGCTGTGGAGGGTCCTCCTGGCAGATTAAGTGCACATTGCGGATGCGAGAGTTGGCGGGGGCCGGGCAGCTCTGACAGCGAAGCATGGCAAAGGTGTCAAGTGAAACCCAGTCAAGACGAGAGCTGACGCAGGACGCGAGGGCTGAGCTTACGCACTGGGTGTGAGTGGGAGATTAGAGATTGGTCGCAAATGGGGGATGAGAAATGCCTATTTGGGGATTATGCAAGCAATAATTATTTTCAGATGAAAGATTGAGTTCAGATAGAGGCCAGAGGCCATTGTTTCTGTATGTTGTGTAACCCTTTTTGAATTGGAGTGTGGTCCTCAAAATGTTATGTTTCTGATTTACCTCTGTCCCACCTTCAGGCTAGAAATGAGTGTTCAGTTTGTAGTGGAAGGTGAGTCCTTCATTTTACCGCTGTTTTGAATGATGGATTAGTTGGTCTAATTTATTATTTCATGATTAATTGATCAGTTGTTTATATCCTGGAGATCAGTGACTTTTGGATTTTGAACACATTGTATGAAAACAAAGGAGCAGATGTCCCTGGAGAACACCTTCATAGAGATGACTTGTTACACATGGGGTTGTTTGATTCAAAATACTTCATAAACACATTTTAAATTTGTTCTGCATAAACATTATAGGCTCGAAGTCATAAAACCTCTTCTCAGTATGTTTAAGTCTACTGTATGTAAGGTTCAAAACATAATTATTAAAATGGCTATTATCAACTATTTCCAAACACCTTTAATGTAACGCCACATGTCATGGTGCGTAGAACAAAGAAGCAGGTTAGATGGAATAATGCTTCCAAAGAGTGCTTTATGGTGAGATGCAGGGAGCTGGATTTAGCTGTGCTTCTGAAGCCCCCACACTGTGGAGAGTCCTAAATATAATGCACTCGTACGTGAGAGCTTTCATTTGGCAAATTCCTATCGTCAGGAGAGGATCCTCCTGGTGTGATCAAGGATTATTATTATTAAAGCTATTTCTATATCAGGCACAGAAGTGCATGAGGCATTTTTACTTCTGAAATCATTTTTAACTAACTTTAGTGAAGATTATGCAGATAATTATATAATTATTGTAAATTCAGGGCTAAGTACTTTTCATATCCAGCTTGATATGCTCAGATTTATTTCTAACACTTGGACTTTCTTAATGGGAACAGACTGTACCTGTGCGACAGGGAACCACAGCTTAAAATAAGTCCGTTTTTAGGCTGACTTATTTTTATCGGCAGACATTTTTTTCAGTCTGCCAACGCAATACGTATCAATACTTTCAATTTCATACAATATATTTCTATTAGAGAATGCAATATACGATATTATGTGATTCAGTAAAAACATATTTTTGGCCCTATCTAATGCTCTGCATAATTTGAACTATCATGCAGAGCATAATACTATGTATTTGTATTGAATTTATTGAGTAAAAATGTTAAATTGGGGCTGATATAAAATATATATAAACAAATTTTAATAGATAGATGTGTATAAAAAATATTTTACAAAAATGTCTATTGTATTTAATGAATAAAAATAAGATTATTCCCAGTATTTAAATATTTTTATCCGCTGGATAACCCTGATGTTCTGTCTAGATACAAAGGCCCAATGGTAGAAGTGACGCGGAGCCTCTGCACCTGCGCTGGTGTTTTATCAAACCAGGAGTCACTCGAGTGAACAGCGAGCGCGGAGCAGAGGTGCTCGGGCTGAGAGCTGGAGGGGGATAGAGCTCATAATGGACTTTAGAGAAGAGTCAGATCTGAAGGTTTGGCTTCAAACAGACTCTAAAACATAAATGTGTTTACATTTTAGTCATACTATTGACACACACTGTTAAATTAGCTTTGTCCAGGATCTGCACTAGTGTGTCCAGAGGCGAGGCACAGTGCTATACAAACAAATATAACACCATTGGCCCATTATCAATATCATTTTGAGTGATAATATGAAACTGAAACGGCACAGTAGCATGTGTGAGTGTGTGCACTGGGATGTTTACCTTTGGTCGGAGCCTGTGCAGAAAGAGCAGCTGCGTTCACAGCTGTGGAACACCGCAACCAGCTTCCCTTCTGACTCCGGGTGTCACGGTAACCAGGGCTTATGGTAACTGTGCCAGTTTCAATTTAGAAAAAGGTGTTTTCTCCCTGGATGACTGCATCTGTTTTAAGGTAAACCCCCTCACCTTTGCCAGGAAGTTCATTAAAGCTGGTGTACCTAACTTATTTTTGTTATATAGAGTCTTGAGTCAGAAAGAGTCTTGTAAAAACTGTCCAATCAGACCACAACGTGCTTTCATCCATCATTTACATGCTGAGAGCTGATTGGCTGAGTGAGGGAGGCCAAAAATACATGTGAAACTAGTGATGGAGGTAAACAGTTATGAGAGCGATAATACTGATTTTAGTGCATACAATTGTGCAGTTTTGATTATTTTCATATCTCGAATACTGTTATTGTGATATTTCCTTCTCATATTGTTTAGATATAATTTTATTTATTATACATCATACATATACAGTATAGCCCAGCCCTAGTATCATTAACTTTCCATAATCCAATAAAAATAAGCTGCTTTAAATCAAAATTGTCAGTATTGATCTGTGGCTGCTCCTTTATGTCTTAATGCTGATAAATTCATGTCAAGTCCAATGTATTTGTTTATCAACGAAAGTAGTGAACAGGCAGTCTAAAGTCTACATTATAAAGTGCTGACACGACAACAGACAGTGGTAAAAAAGGTAAAAGGTCTTCTTGACTCATCCGTATCACAGATCGAGTTTGAGTATACAACACCCTCTTGAAAAAAATAAAAAGGATTTCTTTTTATCGGCGAGTTTGGTTTCATCTTCATCTTCATCCATCCCAGTCAAATCCCGTTGGGCCTGGTCTCTGGTGGCTGTATTTGCGGCTCTCCTGCTGCAGCTGGACGGGGATGAATGGCTGAGCACCTCCAGGTTCAATGAGTGGTTGTCTGTGTGCTAATGCCAGCGCGGCCTGTGCCCTGGACGGGGGCAGGGGGCGCTCTGCACAGGTGCACGTGCGTGGGCGAGGATGCAAACCGGACGCCCACTCTCTCCCCAAAACACGGCACTTTCATATGAGCTCCGAGCCGTCCACATCAGTGCGCTGAGCAGGTTCACCTTTTTGGAGTGCAGGAAGTTGATTGTTTATGAGAGAATTTTAAGTTTGTATTTGTTTTGTTTTTTTATAGCATGGTGTAAAGGATTGTTCACAAAAAAATCATTATGAACAGGTATAAAGGTATCCATTAACGCACTCTGACATTACATCAATCTTCCTGGGGTTTGGCAATGATCAAATCTCTCATGAAAACGGTTTTCTTTAGCTGTGAGTACGACTGATTTGATCTACCTTTAATACAGAAAGGTTTTTTCTGTTTGTGACTTCCTCTTTCTTACTGTACATGACAATATAAATGATTCTGATTATTAGCAATAACTGTAATATGTATTTTATTTACATTTTTGTGTGTATTTGTACAGATATTTTATTTATTTTTTATCTTGTTTTTGCGTTATTGTGAAGCACATTGTGGTATACAAGTACAATTTGCATAATGCTCTTAAAAATTACACAATAATTCAAAAACTACCGGTGGTTCGTCGCTCTGAGACCAGTTGAGACTCCTCACTAGTTTTCACACACATTCTCTGTCAAAAGAGCTCTCTCAGCCCTCACATGGCTCTTTCTCACAAGTATATTTTCTAAAATAATGAAGATTGTAAGTTCTGGTCTGATTTCTTCACAAAATGTTATTTTCACAAGACTTTTTCTCTTGGAACGAAAAAAAAGTATTGACAGAACAGCCATCCTCCTGCGGACTCCCACCTGCAGGAGGATGAGTGAGGGGCTGGTGCTCTGTGACTTGGGTGAAGCCCTGACTGCCACCCTGATCCAGAAATGGATTAAGGGGAAGAAAAAGACAGATGGAACGATTTTACAAGTTGACTAGTTACATCTGCTGAACTGTGCATTTGTGTCTGGAAAGCTTTAGTATAATCAAAAAAAGGTATAACGATACTTCCACTAGTCCACACGATTTGGATTTTTGTCGTGAAGGTGAGGACACAACACCTCAATGCAAATACAATGTAAATCTAAACACGGGACATTAGATTTTTCATACGACAAGAAAACCATCCCTCAGAGTAATGAGGCTGGGTTATCTGGGAAAAAGATCAACATTTTTGTAGTGTACATGTTTACATACCAGAGGTGTGGACTCGAGTCATGTGACTTGGACTCGAGTCAGACTCGAGTCATGATTTTGATGACTTTAGACTCGACTTGACCAAATGTAAAAAGACTTGCAACTCGACTTGGACTTTAACATCAATGACTCTGACTTTCACTTGGACTTGCGCCAATTGACTTGCAAAGACTTGCGTAACTCTCTTTCTATCTATGCCGTCTCTGAAGAAACAAAGCCTCGCGGTAGTTGTAGCGCTCGCGAGAGAGTTCGAACGTGAGTTCCCCGCAGTTCGCGCAGCAACACTTCCCTAAACAAGCGCACTGCATTCACCGGTGGGTGTGTTGTCTAGGGGAGCTGGAAATGAGCGAGCTGCAGGTATTTATCGCGACCTAACGTCATACTTTGTTCTACAAACCGTAATTGATATGCTTTCACTACAGGCGCCTCATACAATTGAATCGACACAGTTGTCACACTGTGTGCCGTGTTTTAAAGAGGAACTGGTGAGTCAAACTAGCGCTAGCCTGCGCTGCTCTGTTAGCTCTTTCTTATATTTTTCTGTGTGGGCGCCGAGGCCTATTATTATGAGTATGTTTTTGCTGTGCTCCTCCTGCTAAAGTTTGCATACATTAGATAGTTGTTTTGATTATGTGCACTAAGCTAGATTAATATTTGCACTATTGTTTATGGTGCATTGATATGAGAATCAGTGCTTTGACTGATTGAATTAATTTATATGAGACATTTTATTATGTAATGATATATTGGTAATTATGAGATATTACTAATGCTGGTCCAGTTCATACAGGCCGGGGTCCTTCCCCTCCATTGGTCCCTTCAGTCCTTTGGAACAATAACCACTACGGACATTAAACTGATTATATAGATACAGGTCCTAGCCCAATACTCATATTCATATATGCTGCACTGCTGCACTTGCTACTTCCCATTAAAAACCCCAAAGATAAAAAGTATGTTGACACGGACTGCTCTGATTTTATGTGTGGTCTGTGCATGTGTAACTGAGCCTGCATCTGGCACAACATCCAATTAGATCACGTAGATAGTTTTGATTTACCAGCAGCCAACGACATGGAACAAACTGTTAGTCCATGGGTCAGAGACCAACGAGAATGCACCAGCAAAATGATTCCTAACATTATTTTGTTTGCCTACAAAAGTACGTGGAGACCAACAAGAAACAAATCGCGGTCAAAAAGACTCGAGAGGACTCGAAAGTCAAACCGTAGGACTTGGGACTGACTTGAGATTTGTTGGCCTTTGACTTGGACTCGACTCGGGACTTGCCTGTCTTGACTCGTGACTTGACTCGGGACTTGAGGGCAATGAATTGAGACTGACTTGTGACTTGCTAAACAATGACTTTGTCCCACCTCTGTTACATACTGTACGTCTACATTCAAAATTGGCGAGTGGAGAAATTGGCTTTTAGTGTGAAAACAAACATTAAAGTCCTCCACTTCATCCTATGACCAGTGTCTCCATTTTAATAATGACTTTTGATTTTAGGCACGGCACATATATAAATCAGTATTTCACAAGTAAACAGTGTGTTGCTATGGTAATTGGCAATGCGTCTGGTCTGGTGGAAAATTCAATGACATTTCAATTTCATTCAATTCAAATTTATTACAGAATCTAGGTCAAATTTATCGACTTTATCAACATGTATGGACATTGGTCATCTGCCCCCTGTGCCCCTATGTTGCATTTCTTGTTTTTCAACCGTTTGATTCTCTGATTTTTGTTGGCAAATCAACGGTTTTGTAAAGTCCTCTACTGTTGACGTTTAGGGCTATACAAAAATAAATTGAATTGGCGAATAGGGGTAAAGGAGAAAAGGCGTTTACCTGTTGCTCAGAGACAGATGCTGCACTACATGTCGCACTCCTCGCAGCCCAAATCCAGCCCTCCTTTTCTGTGCCCCCATTTCTGAGTGCCCTATTTGACTATTCCTCCTCCTGGCCTGGTCCTCCTCCCGTCCCCCTCCCTCCACACACTCTCCCCCTGGTGGTCTGTTTCTGGTGCCTTTGTGTCGGAGGCTGTGGGTTTTGATGCTTTTATAAATAGCTTAAGTGTTGGTACCTCGGAACGGGATGGATGGAGAGGTGGGCTGTGGGAGGGGGCTCGTGTAGGTGGGATGATGGGAGAACAATAGGAAAAAACGTGGAGTTTCAAAGTACAGCGATGAAGTACAGGTTATGAAGGATGAGGTCGTGGAAGAGCGTATTGAGGATTAGCTGTTTGTATTGATCTGAAGAGGAAGGTGATGCTTTAAAGGTGCTCTCTGTAACTTTTCTGGGAGCCCACTTGTATATGAACTGGATATACTTGCATAGTTCTAACATATGCAGTGGTCTTTGTAGAATAATGTATGTAAGGATCTACAATGTCGAATGTTTACTGAGTAGTTTTTGCATTTACTGGTACTTAGTTCATAATATTGTGGGAAAAATCTAAATTTTTTATGAAACAGGCTGGATAATGAGTACTCAGTCATGTCGACAAGCAAGTGTTCTCAAAGGCAGATTCTTATATCCGCTATATGTGTGATCATTCAGGTATTTGTGGTTCCTGGTTAGTACTGTGAAGGGAGACCTCTGGGAACAGCAGTTGCCACATTGGGGCGGCTGCAGCTTTAAAGTGTCAAAGTGTCGTTGTGTCCTTAGGCAAGATATATCACCCACTTTGCCAAGAATGAGTCTTTTGTGTGTGTGAATGGTTGGCGGTGGTCTGAGAAGCTGATTGCACATACTGGTTGCCTCGCTTGCCAGTGTGCCCCAGGGCAGCTGTGGCTACAGTATTTTTTAATGTATTTGTTTAATTGACAGGGACTTTTCACAATAAATGTATTGTTCAGACCGGACATAGGGAGCTGGATGACCAATGTACTTGAATAATACAAAAAAAACCAGTGAGAAACCTCAGGCAGGCCCATATTGAGAGAAGGATCTGCTCCCACGACTATAGATCCTGGACTCAGCTGTTCAATGTGGACTGGGGCTGTGTGGCTCCCAGGCCGGGAGGGGGGGCAGCCCAATGATCTTTAGTGTTAGCGGTCAGCCCTGTTGGTACTTATTCTCTTATACATTATCCTGCTTATTATATGGCTATCTGCGAAACCCAAAATAGACGTAAGTCCACTTTTATGAAGGCCAAATGGTTTATTTAATTCATTAAAATAAAATAGTTCCCATAGTTCCCTGTTACAGTAATGAGGAACTAGACTAGCTACTTATTACTTATAGAAACAGAAGTAGTGTCGCTCAATGCTTGTTGACAAAGTGGCCGGACTACTTGCGGAGTGATCTAACACGTGTGAATTATAAGCACAAATTGCGTTGCCAATGACTATGGAGGACCGTGGCTGCCAAAACAATAAATATATACAGAAATAAATAAGTTTAAAAAAGATAACATTTGCAAAGAAATTCATGCAATTATGAGAATAAGTGCATTTATTTCTGTATATATTTATTTATTTATATATTTATTTTTGTATTTATTCATACATTTATTTCTGCATTCATACATTTATTTCTCTATTTCTGTATTTATTTTTGTATTTATTTATTTCTCTATTTATTTAATTTTTAATTTTTTTAATTTTTAATTTTATTTTTGCATATTTTTTTGTTTTTCTCTTTTTATTTTTTTATTTATTTATTTATTTCTGTATTTATTTCTGTATTTATTTCCGTATTTCTCTTAATGATATGCAAATCATGGGGTGGGCCGGGATGCCTCTGCTGTAAGCTCATTGGTTAATCTTTTTCCTTGCTCCATAGCTTGTCCAGCATAGGCGGTCATGTTGAGATCACTGTGTTCTCGCTATACTGTAGTGGGAACCTAAGGGTACCTCACGATACGATACGATACGATACACGATACAAAGCTCACGATAACGATAATATCACGATAACGATAATATCACGATAACGATAATATCACGATAACGATATCACGATAACGATTTTATCACGATATGACGATTATTGATATATTGGTCAGAAATATACAATATGCCAATTTATGGCATAAATAAAAGAAAAATTACTCTATTTCATGATAAATAGAATGGAGATGCGTAATGTAGACATATATTAAGTATTGATACCAATTTAACAATTTTTTTTTTTTGTTTTGTTTTATTTTTTACAATATTTTTTTTTTTTTTTCAAAATCGATATCGATACTTGGCAAATGCATATGGATAATCGAATCGCGGGAGAAAGTATCGCGATATATCGAAAAATTGATATATCGTCACACCCCTACTGTAGTGTTGACTATATTATTTTCCGTTTGGATCAGCTGCGTAAAGTCCCGTCCCGGCATATGAAATCCACGCAGGGGTACATTTAGTATTACTATAAAGTACATAGATTTTGGTATTCACATAGCCCTGGCGCACACTGATCATTACATTAAACATAATCAACAGCAAAAATGACCACACTCTCTCTCAGCCTTCACTGAAAGCTCCAGTGTCTGAGTGTAAAACACACACTTCGAACGCGGGGTTTTTTGGCGGACTTCAGCGCTTTGTAGTAAAATACACACGAGCACCTGTCACTGCCTTTGCCAAAAGCCTCTCACGAGCCGGACAGGGAAATGAGAATAAAGAGGCCGACATCGTGGACTCTCAGAGCGGAGGATGATCGTTAATACTCCTCTATCATATCAGCTGTTTTATTTTGTGCCCAGACAACACGGGAGCCGTGCGCAATTGCGCACGAGCGCAGTTAGAGGGAACCATGCCATAAATACAGAAATAAATAAATGCAAAAATAAATATTTAAATAGAGAAATAAATGTATAAATGCAGAAATAAATGTATGAATAAATACAAAAATAAATAAATAAATACAAAAATAAATAAATAAATAAATAAATACAGAAATAAATAAATACAGAAATAAATAAATACAGAAATAAATAAATATATAAATTAAATAAATAAATAAATGCACTTATTCTCATAATTGCATGCATTTCTTTGCAAATTTTATCTTTTGTAAAATTATTTATTTATTTCTATATATATTTATTGTTTTGGCAGCCACGGTCCCCCATAAATGACAGCGGTCATTATTGGTTTCATAAGTTCGTTATCAAGAAATAATGAGCGATAGTTTTGAAAATACATTCAAATCAATGGAGCGTTCTACTTCTACTGTGAAGGGCCATATAATAATTGAAAATTATTTGAATTGGGGCAGGGCAGTATGGCAGTAAAGATCATATATTGCCAAGACCCAAGGCAGGCTGTAGTTACCCCCCGCGAATGATTGGTCAATCCAGATGAGACGTATAAGGATTCACCAAGACAATATCAATATAAACACCAGCATCATAGACAGCACTAAACCACCAATGTTTAAGCCCAATATTGTTGAGTGTGACACAAAAGATTTCCAACTTGCGTGTAAAGCCTGGTTCACACGAGACAATTTTGAAATTGTCTGCCGATTTCCCTAACCTGAGACCCCACACACGGAGATAAAAAAATCAAGGGTCTAACCACTTCGTTTGTACAGTGTGTGGTGCGCAAAATCACACAAACCACACACACATCACACACAAACCGATTTCACCCCTGAGCATTCCCAGATCAGACGGAAATCTCACAAAATCTCGCGAGATTAAGCGTGACGAAGTTTCCAATTTGTTTTTAGCAGAGAAAAGGCGATGGTCGAAGAAGTGGAGACATCGCGAGCATGGACTATACTTGTTAAATCGTGATATGGAAAGCGAGTTGTTTTTTTACTCTTATGAATGTTGTAGCCTACCTCGTCTTTTGATTGGCTACACGCCGCAGTCATGGCAACACAGTCTGTTCCCGGAGGACACCACACACAAAGAGAAATCGGGCCAAAATAATCCAACATGTTGGATATCCCCGATTTGAGATTGGAGCAGTCCCGAAGTCCTTCCGAGCGACGAGCGCAGTCTTTACACCCCACACACGGAAAATCCATCAGATTTTTATATGAAAATCAGAGCGTTCTTAAGAATGTTGTTAGGGGTAAATCGGGTCTTAAATCGGCCGTGTGAACCAGGCTTAAGTCAAAAGGAGCCAGCACGAAGTGGAGCAAAACTTAGTAGAGCACTTCCCTATCAGTCCAGTCTTCATTGAGCGAGCGGGTTTGCATTGTCAGTCTATACAGTCTCTGATTTCAAAAAGACAAATTTTGGGAAAAGAGTGCTATAGTGCTTTGATCTGAAATCAGTAAACTAATGGTATGAGATTAAGTTATTCAAAGGAAAAGTAGCTTGTTTATTCCAACCCAACACCATGTTTTAGTCAATGAACCTCAAGGTTTATTGCTCAAAAGCTAAATATTTTCAACTGGAGAATTTATCTTGAGAATATCTGTGTCAATGTTCAGACGTATTTTTATGAGAATTTTTCAAAATCTGATTGAAAATGAAACCCTTTTAGTGACTGGTAAAAAGTAACCACATTTCTTGTCATATTGAAGTCTTGAGCCATAACTTATAAACCGCAAACATTTTCAGATACGTTAACATTTTTGTGGATGAAGCGAGTTATTTTGAGCAGACAGAAATAAATTGCAAACGCGGTTTAACTGATAGAGAGATGGTGCTGGAGACAGTTCCTGGCTTTTGGGGGAAATTGTCGATATGCACAAGAGATAGGGGAGCAAGTGTTTTCCTGCCAGGTCAACAAAAAACAGACAAACTTATTCAGCCAAAAATATTAAAGCATTTCTTTTTTTCCTTAGTTTCCATTAGTGCTTTTGCCGACGCAACGCAGCTCAGGATTAAAATAAACTAAACTCATACATATGCTGAAATAACCTCTCGACTCCCACTGAAACAACAGCAGAAGTTGGACATAAAACAGAATCCATGTTTAATAAATGCATCGTGAATGTGTCTGTGTCGTGAAAATGAACTGAAGAA